GTTTGCTCTTTAAGCCAGTCATCAGTCACAGCATACTGCAGAGCAAAAAAACATGAACTTTCTCCTGGTCTTTAGCTCCTTCAGTTGTGCTGTTGAATTTGAGACCTGACTGCTGTTTATTATTTTATATATGCGCTGTTATGAGATGGAGTGTTTAGGGATTAACGTGACACCTCTCAGCTAATTCTTTAAAGTCCTTCTGAAAATCACTCGTTTTCAAAGGATTTAGTATTTATCCCCAGATTCCTCACAAATCTACAACGTGGCAACAGGCAAATATTCGCTGTTTGGTCTCCCACCTCCCCTCCTTTGTACTCTTTCATCTCCATTAATTACTACAGACTACAGGAAGGCCCTACAAATGAGTCAGCATTGAGAAGAGTTTGATTTTATGCAATCAAATGCCTTAAATCAAAAATAATTGAGGGTCTTAGTATTACCATTACCTGACACCATCATCCTCTTTTATTGTATTAGTCAGCATTGTTTGGTAATGTCTGTATGAAGTTGCATAGTTGCCTACAGACTATAGTTGGCAACTTCCTTATAAGACCAAAGCAAACGATCTCAGCTCATATGCTGAAACAGCACAACCCAAGGTGTATAGATTTATGATAATTTGATTAAATGCACTTTTATCGAGAGATCACCAAAGAATCACCACCCGTGATACCAACATAGGTTGGACCGCGCCCATCTCTGAACTCAGCCTTCATTTTGATCTCCGGTGCATTCCCATAAAGTCTCATGGCTGCATCTTGCATGTCTGTGACGCTGTTGCTCTGACATAATCTGTCCACAGACAGACAGGACTATAAACATTCACCAAAGAGCTCAAAACCAGCTTTGTGGTAGTTCCCGCTACAGCAGTTGACTCCAGGACCACATTTTGCCATGATGACACACAGACACACAAACTCACAAGGTTAAAAAAACAATACCATCCACGTTATCACGACCGGTAATGAAGAAACGTCACGCCATTTGTGCACAAAATATACTAATTAAGGACTTAATGGTCCACTGCAACAGTTTAGTACCGTACTTCCTTTACGCGCTTGTAACCGATATAAAATATAATAACAATGCAAATGGGATTTCTTGTAAAGATGAACCTGAAGAGAATTATTACGTAAAAACTATGGCTCCTGTTGGCGTTAGACAGACTAATAGCCGGTTTCTGCTTCTTTTTTTTTAGCTGTTCGCACCACATCTTTATTGTTTTGGTTTACACAAAGTGTAATTTCATCTGTAGCAGGCTGCAGTTTTCCGTGAAAACATCATCAATCATCTTTTGTGTAGCTCATCCTGTTAAATATAAGAAACAGCTGTAACCAGGAGTGTGGTGAACTACTGGTGCATCTGGCACCTTAAAAGCCATATATTGCCTAAAAGCATGGTGACCACTGAACTGGACATTCATTAGTCAGCAGAAAAATAGCTCCAAATGACTAATAATGTTGCTCCCTAACTTCTGGGTAAATAAGCAACTGCTTGCCATAAGTATGTCATGTCAAATTAAAAAAGCTGTTATTTGTCAATCATTTTATTAAATACTCTATTGATCCCACAAGGGGAAAGTCTTTTTCTGGAGAGTTGGTCACAGTAAAACATCCCAGAGGTCGTTAAGGTTAAGGACATTATTCAGAACCAGCAGTGGCAGCTTGGTGATCCTTGAGTTTGGACCCCAAACCTTCCAGTCATTAGTCCAAATAATGGCTTCACCTAGAAGAGGATGGTTTTGATCCATCGACCTCTGGGTTATGGGCCCAGTACGCTTCCTTTGCGCCGCTCTGCTTGTGTTTGCAAGTTGTTTCTACTTCTTCCAAGGGGCCAAAAAGAACAACTATGGTAGGTTTTTTAAAAAGGGCGCTTAAAATCAAACAGCCCGGCCCTGGGATTTCTTGAATTTTCACCCCTATGATGAGTCAAGCTCTACTTCAAAACCACTGGATCTATCATTTCAAGAAATGACCAAGGTTATATTCTTAAACTTTAAAGAGCTCCCTCCAGAGCCACAGAGGACATCTGTTTTTAACTTGGTACTCCCAATGATGAGTACACTTAGCTCCATGTGCAAAACCAGTGGAGTGCCCTATTATAACCATATTGTGATGTGACACAGCCACATGATTATGTAATATGACGGGATCCACCTTAGAGGGTATTGTGCGTTGGTGGTGAAAATTACCAACAAAAATCAGCAGTTATTTGGGTTACTAGAAGCCAGTGAAGCCAGTGCTCTTGGGCCTTTAGCTGCTCACTTTGCCCTGTCATTAATTCAGCTTCGTTCACCTATAACCGACACATACAAGCTCGCGTAGAAAGGACAAAAGGCAACTCAGATGAACCGATGTGCAGCCACACATACGTAGCCACCCACAGTCAGAAAGACAGATAGGGAAACACATAACCGGTGTCTCGCCACAAACACACACACAGACAAACCCGGCACACCCCGCCATTCACTGTCCTGGCCTTGTTTACTCATGACCATTGCAGCTCTGACTGTTGCAGTCAACCTCATCATTCCACAGATTCCTGTGTCCCAACTCTTTTATGTGTTTTCCAGAAAGAGTTTTTTTTTAAATGTCTATCAAACGCAGGAGTCATACAGGCATTAGGAAATAATGCTGACTAATATAATAAAAGTGAATGATAGTGTCAGATCATGCATGAGGCTCAGACCTTTGGGTGCTTTGATTTCAGGGAGACAGCTTAAAATATTTTCATTTTTTGATTGGTTGAATCTAATTCATCTGAATGCTGTCTCGTTCAGATGGCCTTCCTGCAGCATCACATACTCAATTGAAACTGATAATCAAGAAAACTGGGACCAACTGGAGTTTACAAGGTAAAACTTGCAGCAACCGGCTTTATCTGTGCAACACCGCCATCTGTAGACCGACTCAGACTGCTCCACAAAACTCCCTTATTTTCTTTGTTTAATTGGGTAGTCTTACATAACAAACCTAAACGAAAGGAACACTCGAGATTTGTTTGAAACAACAAAAACAGAGAGTGTTGAGCCAAAATGGCAATTTCCTCTATTTACTGTATTCCTTTAAACGCTTGTTTTCCTCCCACAGACCAAAGACGTGTGGGTAGGTGAACTACGCAAACTCTAAAATTGCCTCTAAAGTGTGGGTTTGTTTGTGTTGTGTTAGAATCCTGTGACATTCAAGTGACTTGCTGACCCTGTGAACTCGCACGGCAACAAAGCAGCCTTAGAAACCAGATGAATGATTTCATCGTGGATCACGTTGCTTCCGTGGATCACAGTTCAAATGAAAGAAAACAGTGAGAATGTTGAGGAACAACGACAACAAAAAAACAGTGATAAATTTTAAGATTTATGGTTTAGTGTCTCAACTTTATCTATCCTTGCGTAATAAATTTAACCATTTTTCTTGTGCCAAACATTTTCCTCTGCCTTCATGCTGGATAGTTTAGGCCTACTAACTGATATTTTAATGTGATTTAGGAACAAACTCTGAAACTGCACAGGTCAGGGCTATGTAGAAAAATGCAAAGACTGCTACAACATGACAGCAAAAAGCAGTTTTTCTTCAACAAGGGGCTTTTTTTCTTGACAGGTCTAAGCCTTGTATTCACATAAAAGATTCAAACAAAACTCAACTAGCAGAGTCAGATGATAATTCAGTGCCTTTAGGTATTAAAATGTTTCCCCTGGGACAAAATCATCCCAGCAACATGAAATAAATCTGTTTAGGTTGGATAGGTGAGCAGACCTTGTTGAAGCACATAGACTGATCCTAATAGATGGTTCATTAGGATAACATTTGGGATTTCTATATTAATTAACAGATAACATGCCGATGATTTTGCATGGAAGGACAAGAGGGCTTTTTTTTTTATAATTTTGGAAAGTTTGACTGAAGAAAGGGCTGCAGGGTGGTGCAGTTGGGTAGCACTGTTGCCTCGCAGCAAGAAGGTTGCCGGTTCGCGTCCCGGTGGGGGCACCGGAATCTTTCTGCGTGGAGTTTGCATGTTCTCCCCGTGCAGTGTGGGTTCTCTCCGGGTTCCTCCCACAAGGTCCAAAAACATGTTGAGGTTAATTGGTTATTCTAAATTGTCTATAGGTGTGAGTGTGCTTGGTTGTCTGTCTCTAAGTGTAGCCCTGCGGTAGACTGGCGACCTGTCCAGGGTGTCCCCTGCCTTCGCCCTAAGTCAGCTGGGATAGGCTCCAGCCCCCCCGCGACCCTAGTGAGGATTAAGCGGTGTATAGGTAATGGATGGATGATTGAAGAAATTAGAATCATTACAGGAACATTGTATATGTGAACAGCACAACATGTCATTTGGACAGAGCAAGCACACATACAGTACATACAAAGATATAAAGATATAGCCAGAGTCTTTGAATAGTCTTAAACAAAAGAAAGCAGAAAGGGTTGCAAAAAAGATTAAGAAGACAGATTTATGTGTTTATTAAACAAAAATATTATTTATGCAAAAAAGTAACACTAGACTGCTCTTCTGTTTTGCTCCTGGAAATTGTGGAGACATATTTCTTCATTTCCCTGAACAAAGCAAGAAAGAATGACTTATCTTGTAAAAAGTTGTTGATGTGAAAATATAGAAATATCCAATATTTTGTTATTTACATCCTGAACTGTTGTTTAATATCATAAAAGGAGTCATTTCTTTGAACAGTTTTCTGGAAAACACGCAGTTCCAAAACATTTATGGGTCTAAGCTTTGCAAAAAATACAAATAGGGTTAATTGTCATTCCAAATCTTGTCAGGCACTGCCTTGCAGGATAAAATCTCCTTTATTTAGTCATTTATAAAGAATCTATGTAGTAGCCTACAAACCTTTTTCCAGCAAATATTAGAGACCGATTTGCTTCAATAAAAATAAAACATGTGAAAGTGTCGGCATCTTGTTGAAACAAAGCAAGAATAACTCAGTTATTATTCTTACAAACTAATTTTACTCACTGAGCTGTGACGTGAGTTGTGACGTGATTACGTCATAAATGTGCGCCACGTCCACCTCCTGACGTTCAATGTCAGCTGGCAAAGATTTTGCTGCCTTTCTTTGATAACACGGGTAGTTAGTGGACTAACGTCCATGCACAGAACCGCATACACAGCTTTTTACGACTGGTCTCACATTATCAGTCCAGCGATGATTCGTCAGTGTCTAAAATGCAGAGGTAAGCAGCGTTTTTCACAGCTAAGAGCTACAATGCTAATATGCTAACAACACTTATCTAACTTGCTCAGCGTGTCGCTTAACACAACGTTTACCTCCGTCTGTAAAAGTAACGTTGAATATCGTCTTCCTTTGCTACCGGTAATATTATTATAAACAGAATCTATGTGGAACTAGCCTTGTGTGACATTTTTACAGTTTGCACTCTTTGTAACTTTATGTCTGCACCACAAGTATTTACCTTCTCATAAACAGAGGCTTTTTTTAAAAAGTGCTTTACAGGGAAAAAAACAAACAAAAAACGTAGAACATAAAATACAAAATAAAGCAGAGTTATTTAATTAAATTGTAGATAAATTTAAAAACAAAAAACAGTTCAGTCAAGTTGAATAAAGTCCAAATAAATGCTGTATATAGTAATTAAAACTGGTTGTCTAAAAAAGCACAGAAAGACCACAGATTGAGAAAATAAAAGACATGCAAACAGTAAAGCAGAAAAAAAATGCATTGAAATTAAGTGAATAAAAGTGCCTGCCGTGTAGACCACAGTTTCTAAAGTACAACTGATTGATTAGAATTAATAGAAAAAAATAACTGATCTTAGCTTACTTTGAATAATTCTGCATTTGGGGAAAATCTTTCCAAACAGCTGGTTCCAGCAGTGAGCAGCATAATGACTAAATGTTATTTCACCTTGTCTGGTCTGAACTCTAGGCTTCATTAACTCAGCAATCCCTGCAGATCTGAGAGACCTACAAGGCTTCAGGAAACATATCTCCAATATGTGTTGGGCTCAGACCTTTCAGAGACTTACAGATGATAAATAGGGCCTAAATTCAATTCTGCATTTCACTGAAAGCCAGTACAGGGATCTAGGAATCGGAGAACTGTGTTTTTCCTTCATGTTCTTGTCAGTATTGCAGCAGCAGTATTTTGATTGAGCTGCTAATGTTTTTTGGTCTTATTAGGGAGGCCAGTAAGGAGTGCATCACAGTAGTCCACTCTACAAGTAATGAAAGCTTCAAACTGAAAAGTGGTAAATGTTTTATCTTCCATTTAGGATAGACTTGGAGCCTTAAAGTCTTCGAAAGAGCTGGTCAGCTTCATTCTGATGTGTTACTCTGTTTCAGCGGTTCCCCTCCAGCAGAGCACCCGTGCTTACAGTGTCTTTCCAACCCCACTTGACAGCGAGGAGAAGGAGATGCTGCACCGAATTGTGCGTGTGGACCATGCAGGTGAATACGGTGCCAACCGCATCTACGCCGGCCAGATGGCAGTGTTGGGTCGATCTAAGACTGGACCTCTCATTCAGGTACAGATGACACACAGATTAAAACACTGTCAGCATGATCTGCAGAGTCAAAAACATTCTTTAACCTTTACTGGACAACAGTTCACACGGATTCCTTTGAATGGAAACGTATTTAAACATTGTGTAACCAGACAGAGGAGTTACTGTTGAGGAGAAAAATAAAGAATTCACTCATATCTTTGGATTTGTCTCTTCTTGTTTAGATTTGACACAATCACAACTCGGTGTGAGTGGGCAAATCACAGAGAGAGGCCACACAGAATTTAAAGATTCTCATCAGTGAAAACCTTTTTTTTTTTTTTTTTTTTTTTAAATCGTTAACATTTAGACTGCATGATACTAGAAAAATTAAAATTGTGTTATTTTGTTTTCCTGTTATATATATTGCAACACAAAAAATACACAAATTTTAACTAAATTACTCAAAAAACGTAGTTTGTGGTGGCTTTATGGCCCTGACTTGAATAGTGAAACAAATGGGTTGTGATGCCTCGTGTTGTGGCAACCATTGATAGACACTGCCAACAGAGTTCTTGTTTTTGGTCAACATTATCCTTGCTATAGCTCAAATATTTTCATACAAGCAATGGTGTTCCTCTCCTGTTTCTCACACATTTTGCTGTGCACATGTAGCACATACAGGTCAACAAAGTAATTCTCCTGTGAATAAAGTTAGAAGAAGAAAATGCTCGATATAAAAGAACCCACCTATCGGAGTAAATGATGTTTTATCAGACAGACGTCTCTTGTAGATTAGTTGTGGAAAATGAGAACTGGATGAGTTTTCTTTTGCATCAAGCAAGAAAACCACTTGTTGCAAGATCTGTTTTAGTTAATTTGCCTTCCTTCACAATAAGCACATCACCTTCTGTCATGAAGCTTCACAAAGCAATATATTAAGTTATCCCAGTCATCATTTTTTGTATTCTGGAGGCCAGAGCTGAACATTTCCACCTGATAGTCTCAAGAACATGTGTTCAGACTTGTGATCTTTTGTAACAAACCTAGTGAACGAGTCCTGTGAGCTTGTTCTGTATCGTCTTCTTCAAAATGAGCAGTGTGGAGTTACATTTAACTATTTATAAGGCAGAGAGGGATTCTTTTCATGGAAATTTTTTTAGTAGATGTCAGTTTAAAACACAGAGATGCGTTTTAGGAGTTAAATCAACATGCAGAGAGGAAGTTTAAAGTACAGTCGTGACTCAATAATCCAACATTAAATGTAGTGCCTTCTTTTATGTCGGATAGCAATGCTGTCGGATTGTCAAGACAGAGGTCGAGATACAAGGAGGGCTTGATGCTTGAAGGGTAATTTGTTGTTAATATTTATTGTTTATAGTTGTTATAATAACAAATGTATTGTTAGAATGCTACGCATCGCTGGATTTCACGCCTTTGACTGGTGCGCTTGTGCACAGGCCCGTCGGTTGCCATCAAAGGTAAATACGTTCAGATAGCAGGCTAAAGTGACCCAAATCAGATTTTTTTTTTTCTCTGTTGTGACCTGCATCTGATCTTTTCATGACAGTCTGAACAACACAGATCCAATTAATGATGAATATCCAAATATTCGGCGTGGTCAGGGGGACCACTTCCACTCTGTGGGTGCGCTCCGACGGGGTGGAAGTGCACAGGCAGTACTTAGCTGCTGATGCCAGTTTAGTTAGCGGTCACACTTCTGTTTCCACCCTCTGTGGCTGCGAGAGAGTGGCAGATATGCTCCACCACCACCATCCGTGTTTACTTCTGCAAACACTGAGCACGCTCGTTGCGTGACGCTGTTGTGTCCTCTTCTGCGCATGCGGAACACTTCTGGGTCCTATGAAGTTCACACAGGAGATCACATACAAGTCGCATTTAATTGGAAATGTGAACCAACTCGCAAAAAAATCGGATTTCACAAAAAAAAAAATCCGAATTGAGCATTAAGTCCTGCAGTCTGAACGTAGCCAATCTGTTGGATTGTTAAATTGTTAATATGCTGTTATCCTTATTTGTGACATAAAATGTCATGTCGGAGTTGGAATCCAAGGGTGTCGGTATGTTAAGGCTATTTTTCATGGGTTCCGTTCGTTTTTCCTAAAAACCTGTCGGATAGCAAGGTTTTTGGATTGTTAAGGGTCAGATTATCAAGTCACGACTGTAATATAAACAACATTTTATTTGAAAACTAAGACAAAACATCATAATGGTTAAATCTGCTGTTTGCAGGTTAGTGGTGTTTGCTCTGTTAGATTTAGGAGATGGTCTGTGAGAACAAAACAAAGAAGAACAGCAAACCAGAAAAATTGATGGTGATAGTGAAAGAGAAAAAAACAGAATGAGGAACCAGCATAAACAGGAAAGGAAGAGAGAGCAAAGGAAAGACAGCTGGAGAGGCACTAACAACGTCTGAAGCAGTCACAGTGGGCAACCGACTGATTCCATAAATCTAAGCTTATACACAGACGCACTGTAGCTTGTTTCATTCCTGAATTGTTATTCAAAAACAGAACAATATGGTAGTATGGGTGTTCAGTTGCATCATTTTTTTGTATCCTCCATGTAAATGTTTTTTGTTTTTTTTTTCTATAGGAAATGTGGGATCAAGAAAAGAAACACCTCCAGAAATTCAACGAAATCCTGGCTGAGAACAGAGTTCGGCCCACAGCACTGTTACCCCTCTGGAACATTGCGGGGTTTGTATTAGGTTGGTGCATCCTATAAATATACAGTGTTTTACAAAGTGATTATACAAATGTTAGAAAGGAACAAATGCATGAAAGAATAATGATGTAGTCCTAAACCGTGTTCTTGCTTGAATCTTTAGAACTTGACTTAAGTATCATCAAGTGCATTGACGATATGTAGTTAGGTGCTTATTAAATTTTAGTATCTCTTTCTCTCTCTCTTTAAATCTGCTCTAGGGGCATCCACTGCACTGCTGGGTAAAGAGGGGGCCATGGCCTGCACTGTGGCGGTGGAGGAGAGTATCTCGGAGCATTACAACAGCCAGATAAGAGCTCTGATGGAAAAGGATCCAGAGAGATACACTGAACTGTTACAAGTGAGTCAGCCGCCGTAATCTCTAAAATTCTGCCCAGTGTTTGACCTTTGTGCACGAACTCTTATGTAGTTCATCAGCATTCACAGTGAAACATCTCTACGCTACGTGTCCCTGACTTGGACTAACACAGACTCAGAGAACGTTATATTTTACCTGACTCAATTCTTTGGCAGAGCAGTGGAAATATAACGTTAAGGAATGAAGCGATTGTTACAAACGAAGCTAGATGCTAATTAAATCTGGTATGCAATGCATTAGGAGTGTTGGGTGTCTAATTAAATATATACTTCACCTGGTTTCTGAATGACTGTAGGTAACGTTAAGTCGATGTGAGGTTGAAATCCTGTGTGATCATGATATAGTAAACCTTTTTAATTCATTTGTGCGCAGAAAGTAATGAAAAATGTGCCTAAGACATTTTTGAGAAAATAACTAATAACTTTCAGGCAACCAGCTATGTTAATCAGACCCCATTATTGTCCAAAGTAGTCGAAAGTGGGGTCTGATATCTGACACCAATATTTTCGACAACATTTTATGGTCAATTACGATATGTAAGTATATTTTCAAATGCAAAAAACATTAAGTCTCCCTTGTAGTGGAATTAAAACAATAATATTGCTGCTCTTATTGTGATGACCCACTTGCAGGTACAGATATAAAGTACAGGGCTTTTCAGATATACACATTCACTGAGCAAATGAGAGAATTACTTGAATAAAAAACAAGCTCTAGTTATGTTTATGTGGCATTGCCAAACAAACTGTCATTATCTGCATGTTTGTGTTCATTTTGGGCCAATGACGAAATCTCATTTGAAACCTTTATTGGCCAATACTCATGACACCGATTTTATTGTGCATCAATACTTAGAGCATTGCATAAAAGCACCGTTTGTGCTTAATTATTTCTCAAATTATTTATCTGATGTGTAATTTTCATAACTTGAGAATTTGCTATATCTGTTTTTACCTTTGATTGCTGCAACTTGTTCAGACAAGATGATCAGACTCAAGATTTCTTGCATGCTGCATTCACTCACTTACCAAAACACACTTGAGTTTAAGTGGTCAACATTTTGTGCTGCGTATATTATCATCTTCAAGGTTGAGTAGTGTGACATTTTGTCTTCAGTGATTTTGCCCGCACTTACACGATAATGCCACTTAGTTGCTGTCAATTGTTTCTACGCTGTCACAGTTTATATGTTTTTGAGTTTGGACTCCTTCCATAAGCCACAGTAGCTACAATAACACATCGCAGCACAAATTCTTCATGGATTAGATTTAGCATTTTATCAAAGGTTTGGCATTATAAGTGGGACTGTCACGCATGCTGTCAGAGCTGAAGAGACCATACCTCCCTGGATATTTTCCAGATGGGTCAAACAAGCACTCAACACATCAACACAGGCCTCCTTTGAAACGAAGCGTCGCATCTGTTATGTTGTCTGATCATGTTACACTCAAAGTTTCATGTCTTATTCACCTGACGCTACTTAGAATTGAAAATGTGTTCAGTGTGTGAGTGAGACATCATTTTGAACACAATATACAGATGAGACGTTTCAATAACACACGATTTAAAAACTTTGTTTGATGCGGAATCAAAACAGAGAGTTTTTTCCAATAATGCAAAGTACTAATGCAGTGAAATCCTGAAATTGTTTTCTGATTCAACGAATCATTTTGGGATGTATTTTAATAGGTGATAAAGGAATTTAGAGATGATGAGCTGGAGCATCACGATACAGGATTGGAGCACGACGCTGAAATGGTGAATATGTTTTTTAATATTCTGCTGAGACAAACACATTTTGTCATATTCAGGTAAATGCATGATGTTTTTTTTAAATTTTTTTTAAATTGGGATTGATAACTTATGGAAGAATCCATTTCAGTACACTGTTCAAAAAATAAAGGGAACACTAAAATAACACATCCTAGATCTCAATGAATAAAATATTCCAGTTGAAAAACTTTATTCATTACATTGTAGAATGCATTGAGAATAAAATAACATAAAAATGATCAATGTAAATCAAAATTATTATCCCATCGAGTTCTGGATTTGGAATCATACTCAAAATAAAAGTGGAAAATGACATTGCAGGCTGATCCAACTTTTGTGGAAATTCCTCAAGACAAGTCGATATGAGGCTCAGGAGTGTGTGTGGCCTCCATGTGCCTGTATGACCTCCCTACAACACCTGGGCATGCTAATGATGAGGCAGAGGATGTTCTCCTGCGGGATCTCCTCCCAGACCTGGATTAAAGCATCAGTCACCCCCTAGACAGTCTGTGGTGCAACGTGGTGTTGGTGAATGGAACGAGACATGATGTCCCAGATGTGCTCAATTGAATTCAGGTCTGGGGAACGGGCAGGCCAGTCCATAGCATCAATGCCTTCATCATGCAGGAACGACTGACACATTTCAGCACATGAGACCTAGCATTGTCATGCATCAGAAGGAACCCAGGGCCCACTGCACCAGCATATGGTCTCACAATGGGTCTGAGGATCTCATCCTGGTACCTAATAGCAGTCAGGGTACCTCTGGCTAGCACATGGAGGGCTGTGCGACCCTCCAAAGAAATGCCTCTCCACACCATTACTGACCCACCACGAAACTGGTCATGCTGGAGGATGTTGCATTCAGCAGAACGTTCTCCAACGCATCTCCAGACTCTGTCACATGTGCTCAGTATGAACCTGCTCTCATCCGTAAAGAGCACAGGGTGCCGGGGTTCTCTGGCAAATGCCAATTGCCCTGCACGGTGTTGGGCTGTAAGCACAAGCCCCACTTGTGGAATCTGTTTCTGACAGAAACATGCATATTATTTTGGAGGTCTTTTTTTTTTTTTTTTAAGATTTATTTTTTTGGGCTTTTCTGCCTTTAATGATAGTTGAAAGTGAAAGATAGACAGAGAAACGTGGGGAGGAGAGGAATGACATGCAGCAAATGATCCGCTGGCTGGAATTGAACCCCGGGCCGCTGCGTCGGGGACTATAGCCCCTGTATATGGGTCGCCTGCCCTACCCGCTGAGTTATCCAGGCGCCCCTGTTGGAGGTCATTTTTGAGGCCAGGGCTCTGGCAGTGCTCCTCCTGTTCCGCCTTGCACAAAGGAAGAGGTAATTGTCCTGCTGTTGGGTTGTTGCCCTCCTATGGCCCCTCCACGTCTCCTGGTGTACTGGCCTGTCTCCTGGTATCTCCTCCATGCTCTGGACACTGTACTGAGAGACACAGTAAACCTTCTTGCCACAGCTCACATTGATGTGCCATCCTGGATGAGCTGCACCACCTGAGCAACTTCTGTGGGTTGTGGACACCGCCTCATGCTACCTCTAGGGCTGAGAGCACTGACAAAATGCAAAAGTGACCAAAACATCAGCCAGAAAGGATGAGAACAGAGACATGGTCTGTGGTCACCACCTGCAGAACCACTCCTTTACTGGGGTTGTCTTGCTAACTGCCTCTCATTTCCACCTGTTGTCTGCTCCATTTGCACAACAGCAGGTGAAATTGATCCACAATCAGTGTTGCTTCCTACCTGGACAGGTTGGTTTCACAGAAGTATGATTGACTTGGAGTTACATTGTTTTGTTTAGGTGTTCCCTTTATTTTGAGCAGTGTATATATAAGGATTGAGTATTTAACCATTGCATGATGTTTCTTCTGTTTTTTGTTTTTTTTTCTTTGTGGTGTTTGTTGTTTATTGGCATTAATTCATCACCATGTGCTTACTGTGGTTTAGTAATTTGATTTGAACATTAACATATTTACAATATACACACATATTACAATTACAAGTCCTTTGCTTTTTGCTGTTTTATTCTAAGTCATTTAAAATACTGCAGTCTAAGTGTGTTTTTCTTGTCTTTTAGGTACCTGGATACTGGCTAATGAAAAATGCAATACAGCTTGGTTGCAAAGCTGCAATATATGTTTCCCAACGTGTCTAAATCTGAACTTAAAACAAATTGTTTTGATATTTTGAGTTTTTCCGTTTTTTGGGAACAAGTTAATTTGAGTCTATGTTCAAATTCTGTTCCTTTGTAAGTGAAACAACTTTTTGATGCAACGTGTTGTACTTTTGTCAGATTAAAAATGTTGAGCTCAAACATTGACTTAATTATGATTGCTTTGTAAAGTATATAGTACATGCACCCTGCCTGGATACGATGGTGGAGGTGACTCTTGCTGAAATAAATGTATTTGTAAATGTAAAATTTCTGTGTGTGAGGTCACCTGTCTGAGAGTGAGGTTGACATGAAAATTGGTTAAGCAACTGCTTTTGAATTAAGATAACTACTGCGTTTCTGAATAGTCCAGTTACTTGCTGAAAACAATTAACAATGTGATACCCAAAAATCTTCTGCTTGCCTTTAACTAAAAGACAAATAACCTCAAATGCACATAAGGACATATTGATACTTGCATACTCACACTATCACCCTCCCCTTCAACAAACTCTCCTGTTTCACATGTAATACTTCATATATCAAGCTGAGCAATGATTGTCATCCTGGCCTAACTGCTAAGCGCCCTCACACAGCTGTTCAGTACATCAGGTCACCGAGCAAGAATGATTGACAAAAGGCTTGTCCAGGGGCCCCTAATCTATTAGGCCTTTCATCAAGCTGAGCAGGTTGAACAAAATGTCCACTCCCCTCTGAGCCAACATCAGTATATCCCCACTGTACACAGAGTGCTGACCCAAAGCCCTTTTACCCTCCATTTAGCCTTTTCAAGCCTGGGGGTACAATATGCAGCGATTTACAGCCAGTACCGGGGGCTGAAAGTACTTTAATGAAATCCTTTGATTTGTCTCTTGACTCTAGCAGAAAGTCATGGCATTCACCGAATGGAAAACATCATATTATGTCATCCTGAATGCTGCAGTGGAAGGCAATGGGACTTTCTTTTTGGTTCTTGGAGATGTTTGGCCTCCGATCCAAGACGCTTTTATCCAACTTCCGCTGAGAATGATGGTTGAATTGTCCTCAAGGACCAGTTGCCTTCTATTTCAATGTTATTTATATAACACCAATTCACAACATATGCCATTTCATAGCACTTCACATAGTGAGATGAAGACCTCACAAGTTTTAAACAGAGAACCGGACAACAAAGTTCTCTTTAAATTCTCTTTTGAGCAAGCACTTGGCAACAGTGGGAAAGAACTGAAAAACCTCCCCTTGATTAGTGTTAGGAAGGATTATTATTAATAATTAAAGGATATACTATTAAAAACATCATCAAAACGGATCAATTATAAAAACAGTTGATTAATTTGATAGGTTTTAAGATTACAATGACCTGAATGACTACGACTCTACACAGACATTATAATATGTCATATACAGGATGTATATGTGTGAAAATAAAGCAAAACAATGGATGGAGCCTTGGTAAGATGTTGGACCATTGTGTGCAGTCAGAAGAACTTCCGTCTACAAATTTCTGTAACTCACTGATCACCCAAAAGATGATCCCTAATTTGGTGGTTTGAGAGTACTGTTTAACAAATCAGACTAAAATCTCCCTTAGACCTTCACTTAAGATGAGATGTTTCTAAATTTCTACTGTCGAAACGATTGAATGGTTTTTCAATAAATTTGGTTCACACGTTCACATTTACCTTCAGAATGAATTCTTATTGCTTTGGTGACACTCTAGCTTTGCATCTAGCGCCACCGTCTGGCCAAACTTTAATTGTTGCTTGCAGCCCAACATGAAGCCCTTTAGTGCCCTCTGTATTCACCAAGTATTTTCTTGAGGCCTTTCCCTTAATTTGTCCCTCTTGTGTACAACAATGTCTCTACTATATGCGTGTCAGAGAGATGAGCTGCTACCCAAGTTTGTGGATCTATTTTGCTCAGCATGAGGTCAGAGGAGTTATTTTAGCTGCATATCGGACCTGACCTCAAGGGTTCATGTGCCGTATGGCCTCCATTCCTTAAAAATAGTATCTTTTGTAGCGTCCGTCAGCTCAAGTAAACACTGAAGTTAATTTGGTAATGCATCGTGTTATGTATTAAATGGTGATCAGCTCATGAGGATTAGTCAGTTCAAAGTAGTGGCCAACAAATTCAATATCTACCAGTTCTTTTACCCAATTTTTTATTTTTTATTTTTGTAATTTTGCAAAGAATCACTCCATAAACCAACTGGTTTCTGTATGCAAAACATATAAGCATTCTCAATATCTTCCCCGCACTAAATCAGCAATAGTATTTCGTTATATAATCATTTGTTTTGATGCAGCAAGGATAAAAAGGCCTCAACCTCCTTTTTTATACTCACAAGAGGTCACTCACTATACGTAAGCAACATGAGACCGTGAGCAGCTTTGCAAAATCAAAGTTAGATCATCATACATTATCTCAGCCCCAGATAAACAGTGCGGACAGTTTCATAGCAGCTGTTTAAATAAAGCAACGAACGTACAGCTCCATTTGCAGCTCCATGTTGGGCTATTAAATGACTGATAAATAAAAACAGGAGTGATGATTCGGTCGCAGCAATAACACTAATAATGCTTCTGAATCAGCTGCTGTATGCAACTATAGGTAAAATACATTTTCAGTGCATCACAGATCTCCATTGTGTGACCATCCAGAGTTCACGTGCATTGTTTAGGTTCTTTTCTCAGAATCACTTCCAAAGGAATCTGCTGAAACACTGACTGAGATATTGGCAACAAGAATTTCGAGAGAGCAATAAAACTTTACTAAACTGGGACTGTCTTGCTACCCGTGAATAATTGCGGTTGTAAATTTTAGAGCAGCATGAATAATACAAGTCTCTATAAGTCATAAAGTCCTTCGGATGCAGATTGCGTTGCTTCTTGGCTTTGATATGTGCAGTCTGACAGTCGTCGGGCTTTTCTTTGGTTTATAGTTACTGATAAATAGCATAAAGTCCATCTGAAGCTTTGACAGTACAGAGGAATTACATAAATGTTATTATGATTTTGCTTTAGAGGGCAACTTTCCACATATTTTCTTACAGTTTTTGTATGTGTATGAAACATGTAAAGTATTTCTGATGATGATGGAATTTGCAGAATTGTCCTGTTCTTTTAGTGCTTATTTAAGATATATGCACAGCTTTTGAAGAGCCAGATGTGAGCTGTAAGATGAGCCATCATCTTTAGTGCAGCTTTGCTTGAGGACATGGGATACCTGTCTTCGTGCATTTTATTGTATGAGCTTATATTTCTGTTATATTGCATTGCTTATATTACAGGGCTATATATACACTGTCCAGCTTTATGAATTATAGATGATAATTTTTATGAAGTTTTAAGCTGTTGCCCATTTTAGGGAACTATTTGCATTCTTGCTGAGCATTCAATGAGAATACCAATGCTATTCTGACTGATAAAAATTAAATGGCAGCCTGTGACCTGTTAGTTTAACGTTAAAACTGAATTCTTCAGTCATGTCACCATGGGGCTGACAGGCAATCAGGGCCGCATGCTTCAGTAAGACACCGTGCCCGGCCAAGAAATGCTGTGACACCTCCTGAATTTATACATTGGTTTTGGTACACACAAAAAATATATGTTTATAAAAAATATATATATATATAACAGGTTGATCAGTAAGCTTTATTGTTTAGTGGATTTAGTTTCCTGTGAAGAGAGCCAGGCTAGCAGGGTGTCGGATGTGGCTTCATATTCACCAAACAGACACTGAAATTTTCCAAAATGTGAAACTATTTCTTGAAGGTACTGGCCTGCATCCACTTGCATTCCTTAATCTCTGTTAATACCAAGAGTAATAATCCTCATTTCTAGATGTTCTGCTGGTGACTTTATAAGTCAAAGCCTATTAACCTTGGGTAAAGATGATGGCATCCTGGCATTGTGTGACTAAGTCACTATCTAACCTGCATTCAGGAACATAATGCTTTAATCTTTTATCTGATGAGAGGAGCTCAGTTAACTGACAGGGGTGATAAAGCTGACACAGATGCTAACTGTCATGTCATCATAAATTTTATGTATGAATCATGCGCATGCTTTTTCGAGATTGCATTGCCTCGACCGTTTAACAAGGTGTTTCTGAGAAGTGAGAGGCCATTAGATCAAAACTGACTCAGCTGAGCTTTTCATATACTTCTGGTTATCCAGGTCAACTATTCACATACAGGACAGATACAGGATTTCAGCATAGGCTGAAAAACAGCCACACTCTATAAATAGTAAACGTTTTTACTGTTCTCTGGTATATCTGTACATATAAATACCTGTGGTGTGATGTCACTGCATGCTTTAGAGCAGTGGTTCTCAAACTGGGGGTCAGGACCCCCATGAGTCATTGTAAAAAAAAAACAACAAAAAAAAAAAAACACTAAATTTATCAAATGAATTTGAATTAGGGCTGTCAAAATTAAAAGTACATACTTCTTCCCACTCCTTTTTTGAACTTGTTAATATAATGATTTGATTATGTGATATTATTATTCTTTTTTGCTTTTTTTAATGGTCTTTTAAAAATAATTTTCTTTTGTGTTTATATTTTCTTCCCTTTTATTTGTTCAAGATAAATTCACATCATTCATTCATTCATTCAAAAAAAATTAACAAGTTCATATAAAGAGATTAATCTGGGGAATCAGCAAATTAATTTTTAACGCATTAATGCATGAACAGCAAAGTTATTACTCATGATATATTAAAAATTCAAAATGGGGGTCACGAACACAAACTTAGGTTTTCTTAGGGGTTGTGGCTCAAAGACCAACATGCTGCACAGAGTAATTAAGTTCTGTAAATTTCAATGATGTTTGATCTCTAATTCATTTTTTTTTTTCTTGTTTTTTTTATAATGAGATATGTATTTTTGTGCTGAAAGGTACACTGTGCACCTGACTATCTAAACCTACGATAAATCTCCTGGATGACTGAGGGGTGTGTGGCCTGAAAGTGTGACCACGTGTCCACATGTCTTCATAGTGTGAAGCGACAACACATGATGCAAAGGGCTGACATCACTTCAGCTGGAATCTCTGATTTATGGCCTGCAATGCAGCATTGTCCACCAACCGGTTTGGAGAAAGAAACAACACACCAAGGTCAGTCTTCTAGGAAGGTTAATCTGTGTAAAACTTCAAAATGTCTAATTTCTCAATCACCACGTGCATATTTCACCAAATATGCATGAAGAAATCAACCACAAACAAAACTGTGGCAATGGAACCCTGATCATGTTTTAGATAT